TGTAGAAGAGCCCACTTTTAGCACACTTCCCCTTCTTTGTGCACAAATTGTTTGCTGACCTTCAGTGAGTGTTTTCCTTAAATTTCTGGGAAGTGCTCACCATCTAGCTTAGCATAATACCAGAGAGCTTGTGTTTAAAAGTGCTGTCCATGTTTAGAGTATGGAAATGCCTTGCTTATAGATTTCTGCATTTGGATGCAGTTTCTTTAACTCATCACCCAGAGCCCTACTTCTGAGTCATATCACAGAGGGCTCTTCTGTTTCTAATACCGCAATAGCCAAAACAGCAACAGGAGCTGAAATGCATCTGCAAAGAGAGATTTCCTACTAGACTAGAAGACATTGCTTCAGTGGGATTGTCACTTAACTGACCTCCTGTTCGAAAAAACACAGCAGGTGATATTTTTCTGTGTTTTTTTTTTTTTTAAGGAGTACAGGGAATTCTTTGCTGTTCCTATTCAGAGTTAAGGAGCTGACCATACTCATTTTGGCAAAGAACCTAGTTTTTTGTTTGTTTGTTTGTTTGTTTTTGTTATAGGGAGGGCGCATGCGCTCACCAGAAAAACAGAGAGAGACAGAGAGATAGAAAGCAAGAAATAACCCCCCCATTGGGGATGGCCACACCGCAATCCCTTCTCCTCCAGTCTCCTCTTGGTATCTTGGGCATGCACGCACATGTGCCCGGCGTGAGTTTAAGCCGCTGGGTCCAGGACTCAAACTACGGTCAACTACATGGGAGTCCAGTGACATAGCCATTATGATAAGAATCTAGTTTTGAGATAAGATTTGAAAACATTTACTCCCCATGATTGTTGTTCATGCCTAGAAAATGTTTGCACCAATAACTTCAAGCTCTTGTGCACACAGAGAGGCTGTCTGACTTGGGAGGGACTGGGGCAAGAAGAGAAAGAGTGGGGAAAAACAATTTTATTTAAAAATACTCTTAAGGAAGAAATTTGACCTCTGTGCTCTTGCTCTGAATCATTGTATCCCACCTAGGGCCCTAATAATCTATACTTGTGCACAGAGAGAGGTGAGGAAGACAGTGATGATATTGAGAAAATGAGACATTATTTATTGAACACTAGGTTATACATCGAGACCTTTACATAGACTTCCTGTACTACCACCCTATGGGTAATAATGATATGTCCACTTTATAGATTGCAAAACTGAGGCTGAATGAGGGAAAGTGATTTACACCAGGTCTGACAGTTCCAACAAGGCTGAATCATGATTGCAGTCTGGGTCTGTCTGCCTCTCATTTCTGTTCTTAACCATCATACTGCATTGCCTCTATTTCAATGGTTTGTTGATTATCATGTTATCTTTATGTAGTAATAATAAATAGAATATAATCAAAGCTCTTCATTAAGTGATCAGTTTGACATCTGCTGGTATTTGCTATGTAGGAGTAAAGTAGTTAGAAGATAAAACCATATTACTCTTTCTCCTCCTTTACAGTTGCCTGTTTCATCACCCCTCCAAGAGAAAACAAACAAACAAAAACAAAAAATAATCCCCCAGACTCCCTCTATTAAAAACCACCTTTGTGAGCTTCTGGTTGTGTTTGCTTTAAGCATCACTGACAGAGTTAACCACAACATATAGAAATGTATAACCTTTACTCAGAACTGATGCCCAAGTTGATAGGTAGACGGGCACTTGAACAGGAGATAGATTCTTTAGACCCCTCATTGAGAATTTCCTTGTCCACCTCATGTATTTGAATTCTCTCTCTCTTTCTATCCAGTTCCTCTTCAAATAGTGCGTAAGTAGTCCCCCTCTATGGCTTAAGTGCACAATACACACACAATTTTGCTCGTAAGCACACCCCATGATGTGGAGCATTCTCTGTCTCAAATTCCCTCATTTTCCCCTCCCCCATGGGCTTTTTCCCCCATTAGGCAAATGGAAGGCCCATGCCACCTGTCAGCATTACATCATTGGCTCCCCAGAACACAGTTGCACCAAAGGCCTTAAACAAAGTAGTTCTTCTTGTATTGTTTGCACTCAAAGAGCTGATATCATGCCAACTGATGTCATTGTGTGTCTTTGTGTAACTGCTATGGCAACTGGGCAGGTGGGGAGCCTCCAGCTGATGTCATTGGGAAAGGAGGTGTAGAGACAGAATTTTAAAAAGCTGTATGCTGCTTTTTTCTGTGTGTGGGGTTGGCATGCTTGGTGTTTTTTTTTTTTTTTTTTTTTTTCTGGCCCTTTTTTAAAAAAAATACAGCCCAAAGGCCTTAAACAAAGTAGTTCTTCTTGTATTGTTTGCACTCAAAGAGCTGATATCATGCCAACTGATGTCATTGTGTGTCTTTGTGTAACTGCTATGGCAACTGGGCAGGTGGGGAGCCTCCAGCTGATGTCATTGGGAAAGGAGGTGTAGAGACAGAATTTTAAAAAGCTGTATGCTGCTTTTTTCTGTGTGTGGGGTTTTCTGGCATGCTTGGTGTTTTTTTTTTTTTTTTTTAGCTAGCCGCTTTTAAGACAAATTACAGCTTGAGTACTCTAAATAAGAATAGAGAGAAGGGATTTTTTTTTGTATTTTTTTGTGTTTTTCTTTTGTTTTTCTCTCTTAGAGACTTCTTTTGAGTTTGTTTTGTTGTGCTTTACTCTTGGCTTATATGGAAAAATTTAACAACTGCCTTTTTCTTAAGAAAAAAGTGAATTAGTTTCCCATCACAGAATCTGTGTGGAACTGTTTACTTGGATTTTTATGGAGGCAAAACTGAGTAGATTTTAAAATCACTCTTCAGAACCCCTTTTGTGGGCCTGCAATGGGTAGTTTTTATTTTGTTTAAGGGTTCACTGGTAAAATTTTTCTGGTTTTTCATCTTTTCTTTATATTTTTGAAATTCTCTCTTTGGGTCTAAACTTTATTATCATGGTTTTATAGTAGAATAAGCTAATAATATTTAACCACTTGGTTTTGTTCTAAAAATCAATTAAAATGAGATTATAGCTTTTTCTTTATTTGACTTTTTTCTTAAAAGCCAAGGCAAGTTTTGACTTAACTCATTTTTGAAGAGTAAAGTGATCATAACATTACCCCTTTGAATTTCTTTGGCTCATTACCATACCTTAATGAAAAGACAATTTCCCTGTTTTATACGACTGCCCCGTTTTCTTCATTTTCATCGGCTATGAATGGCCATGAGGCTCTGTCTAGGTTACAGTCTGGAGCTTCCTGCTGTGGTTGCTGAAGATGAGACTTGAAATGGAGAAGAACATATGTCAGGCTCAGAAACTAATGGACAGATAGACTTCCTGTCCTTATTTCAGCATAACCATATCCTGTTCACACTTGGTTTTCTGCCTTATCTCCTGGAACTATCAAGTCAAACATAAGGCATCTATTTTTGGAGGGTAGATGTTGTGTTCTGGCGACTTTCAGCTAATAGTCATTTTCTAGCTTTCCTCTCTTTTCAGAGGGAAGGCCAGAGCGTATTTAGTTCTGTTCAATAAGAGTTGGAGCTCAGCTGGTAGTAGTGTTGTCAGCCCGGATTCCATAGCCTGCACTTGTATATGAGCTCATTTGAGCCTCCCAGTAATCCTTTGGGCTTATCCATGTGTGTGACAGCATGTAACAAATATTAAAGGAAAATCTGAACAATAAATTATGATCCATAAGTTTTCTATTTGTCTTATTCTCCTCCAGCTTTTGGTGAATGCTTTTGAATGACCTTTTTTCCCCTCATTTAATATTAAACAGAATATTTTTCTATTTTTTTAAATGGCTACAAAATAATATTCCATGGAATGAATATAACATCTTCTACTTCTTTTTCTCCTCTGTTTTACTTGACCTTTTTCATAAAACAGATCTTACAGTAGTTTCCTGTATCCATCGCTGAATATCTTTGGTTAGACTATTTCCTTTAAATACATTTCCATAAGGGAGATTGTACTTGTTCAGGAGGGGGCTTGTATCTTAAAAACAGGGGAACAAGCACAGGTTAAGTTTTTATGCTATTGGAGATTCATAACTCTTGGGAGGCAGAGTAGAGCCCAAACTCAGAGATGTGTATTTGTGGGTTAATTAAAAGGTTTTTTTTTTGATAGGTTTATAGATGCTCAAGCCTTGGAAAGTTGAGTACAATCAAGGCAATCAAGGGATGGCTGCTCCAAGATTTTGTTCTGTGGAAAGTCAGGGTTGAAAGATATCAGGGATCTACATGTACTGTATCAAGAAACAGATAGTAAGGATAGTCTACACCACCTGCCTTGTCTTGTCTTTTCCAAAGCACTGCTCTGATGCTTCTACTGTGGCTAATCGTAAATAATATTAATAAAATAGCTAATATTTCCTGAACTATACCATGTGTCAGGCAATGTGCTAAGCACTTTTTATGTGTTCATTCATCTCAGACTCACAAGCACACTGAGAGGTAGACTCATTATTGTCATTTTTATAGATGGGAGATATGAGGCCCAGAAAGAGAAATTTACTTCCCCAAGTAACAGAGCCAGGCAATGGTGGTACCAGGATTATGGTCAAGGTAATCCTGCTCTTCCAAGGCCCTGTTGGCTTCTGGGTGAGGTGAGCTATGAAGGGTATAAGACACACATTGTCAGTGCCCAGCTACAGGCAGGAGATCTCTGCTTGGGAAGGTTGTCTATGTTTTCCTCAGCTTTCAAAGTGCAGGGTTCTATGTAGGCCACTGAGCATATGGCTCTTTGAAGCAGATCAAATTTGTGGCTGATAAAATCGCCTGAGGCTGCGTGAAACTCTTTCCAGGGGAACATGCCCCAGTTTATATAAAGAGCTCATTTCCAAAGTACTCCATACAGTGGATACTCTCCAAAGCTTGTCCTAGGTCTCCAAATGGACTTTCTTTTTTGTTGTTGTTGTTTGTTTTGCTTTGGCTTTATTTGAAAGAAAAAGCAAGTATACATAAGCAACATCGCACACTGTATTCTGAAGGAAAGGGGGCATTTCAAGCATGCTCTTGTTTTCAGATTGGTCACTCTTGCTTTCTGCGTTTGCATTCCAGGTGGACTTAGTAGTTTTAAGCAGAACCATGAAAACCTCTGTGACAACTCCCTCCAGCTCCAAGAGTGCCGGGAGGTGGGGGGCGGCGCATCTGCGGCCTCGAGCATGCTACCTCAGTCTGTCCCCACCACCCCCGACATCGAGAACGCAGAGCTCACGCCCATCTTGCCCTTCCTGTTCCTTGGCAATGAGCAGGATGCTCAGGACCTGGACACCATGCAGCGGCTGAACATCGGCTATGTCATCAATGTCACCACTCACCTTCCCCTGTACCACTACGAGAAAGGCCTGTTCAACTACAAGCGGCTGCCGGCCACTGACAGCAACAAGCAGAACCTGCGGCAGTACTTTGAAGAGGCTTTTGAGTTCATTGGTAACTATCTCCCCGGGGACGTTACATCCTCCACCTTCCTTTCCCCTCCGGCTCTTGCTTTGATATCAAGTCCAAGGTTTATGCCTGTGTTGCAAGAAAAGCTGCTCTGAGGTGTTTCCAGGCTCTGCCACCTGATGCAGCCCAAGTGTTCTCCTAACTCATAGCCTGCTGAGTGTATTGGAGCCGTCAGGATGGATATAAAAGAAAGATCATTCAGTTGGATTGGCATCTGGGTACCTAGGCATTCCATCTAAAGTTTCAATGAAAACATGGTAGGGCTTAGCATTTATATGCCCTACAACCAGAAGAACTGATGGAAAGTAAGGAATTAGAGGTCAGAGTTAGACCTGTGACTGCCTAGCCCACTCAAAACCTTCAATACCTCACGGCAAATACAATATAGTGGTATCACAACTGCTTCCTAATATGCCCTGCGTTACTTCCCTATTAATCATCCTACTAAGACTTTTTCATTCAGCACAGGAGGTGTTTTCATTTTCTTACCTTCATTTTGTTTGGCCTCTTGCTAGAGGCTTGGTTCAGAAGCTTTTCAGTAAAACAGAAAATGCAGGCATGAACCTTCCTATCTTCTGCATCTTTGCAGAGGAGAGAAGAGTAGGGAAGTGGTAAATTCTTTCCCTTCTACCTTGATTTATCTTGGTTTGTAAACATGTGGTAATTTTTGGTACTAGGTGTCTTTTTCAGGTTTGCCCCAAACTCACTGAAACAGGAAAAATTAGGTTGTATTGCCTGAGTAGTTCCCAAGGAGGAATATTTTAGCAACAGCAAGCTTTAATCTTCAGAAGGAAGCAACTGCCAGCCAGCCTCATCCTAATCGTAACTTCTGCTTCTTCTGTCGTGTCCAATTATAATTCTGGGAACACCTGGCACACAGCAGCTATAAGTGACTTCAACTTTTATTACCATGAAGGGTAATAAGCTCATGTTTGGTATGCCTTTGTTGGAAAAATGCCTTGGTTTTAATAGCCATTGGATCTGGTGAATTTGCTTTAGGGCTGGCGTCTCTGATGACGTTGTCCAGCTGTTTGCTTTGCTGATTGTGCCCTCAGTGTAGGACCTTGGGATATTCAGTCTAGAAGGAAATTGGAGTGAGCAATCAAACTCAGTGCAGTAAATTGACTTCTCCAAGTGTGTAGGAATTCTAGTGTGAGAGAAGGGACTAGAATCTAGGACTTTTGACTCCCAGACCCTGGGCCTTTCTATAGTACCTTGGAGTGGTGTTTACAAATACCCTTTTAATTAGTTCCCAACTGGCTGCACTGTTGCTATAGGTACCTTAGATTCCTCACTAACAAAATCTCAGCCAAATCTTGAGCCCCAAGGAAGCAATATTTGTCACCAAGTAAAGGAGGAACTTCCTGGTTGATATATGATGTTATGATTGTGATTCCATTTGATTGAGTTGGAAAAAGTTAGGCTATGGTTTTCTCTTGAACGAGTTGTATAAGATACACTTATTGTAAGAGGATTTCAACCAAAGAATTCACATTCCTTGTAGATTTTTCAGGCCTACCTGTCTTTTTAGTAGGAAAACAAAACCAAATAATTAATGGCATTTAGCCAGAAGAACAATTTAGAATCACAACCTACATAGGTGCAAGTTTATTTTTATTGTTATTTATTTTATTTTATTGGATAAACCAAAATCTTAGTCTTGCTTTAGAGAAAATACAGAAAGTTTATAAACATAACATCCACCAAGCATCTAATATAAACTAAGCAGTCTAGCTTTAGGATGTAACCATTTTAATTTCTGAGTGCTAGTACATTCAATATGCCCTAAGGCTAGTTCACTAGTATCATTCCCATTATTCACACAGGGACTTCCAGGTGCTGGGAAGTTCTGTGACTCACAAGGGTCACCAGCTAGTATACAGAGGAACCAGTGGTCACCTAGCACTTAGCCACCTGTTCTCTTACTGCTGTGCTTTCTATTCTTGGTTTAGAGGGCAATAAGTAGTGTGGGTTAAAGAGAAGAAATTAAACAGTGGTCCTCTGGTGGGTAATCAATAGAAGTAGTTTAATTTAAATCATGCCTTTCTTTATCCTTTCCTTCCCTACCTTTTTATCTAATTGGGATTCTTTCAGGGGCACTTTCTTGGGGATGCCTACCTTTTTATCTAATTGGGATTCTTTCAGATGCTCTTTCTTGGGGATCCCTTTTAGTTTACGCATATCACTAAAAATCCATTCAAGAGGACCAGGTGGTAGGATGATGATTAAACATGCTTTGTGAGGCTAACCCACATGGGAAGGTTCTGGGTTAGTATCCTGAGACCTCCTTGAGTACACCAGGCATATTTGTAGCTGTGATATGTAGTTTGTTGAGGCTAGGGGAGGACCTTGGCATGAGGATCCTGTAAGGGGTGCTGTCTGTCTTTCTCTCCCTCCCCTTTCTTCTGTCTCTTGGTCCCTCTGTCTGGTTCTTTCTCTGTCACACAAATAAATAAATAAATAAATAAGAAAGACAGTGCCCATAAGCTATGCTTTTGAGCTTTCAGTGTATCTGAAAACTTAGAAAGTATTGCCTCGTTCCATTTCTGAGAATTCTGAGCCATTTCTAGAATTTTTATCTTCTGCATCATTGCCAGGTTAGGACGACATTCATGGACGTGAAGGGTATTGAACACTTGGGGGGAATGACACGTTGGCCAGCATACCACAAGGCTTTAGTTAACTTGCCAACAATTGACTTTGCTGGTGGGAAGCTGGATGTAGTAAGTTTCTAGTTGAGTTTTGTTTCTTTAACATTGATCATGGTTTAGTAAAACTGAAACACTTACCCATGTAATAACAGTTCCTATACAGGGCAATTCTATGGGTTAAAGAAAGAAATGCATCTTGTTTTTCTCTATATCACAGGTAGGGGACTTACTGTTAATAACATTAGTTTTGATAACTCACACAGTTTAGCACGTGTAGTTAACACCCTCAATCAGAAGAGGGATTATATTATATACAAGAATGTCTTAAGTTCATTGAAAATGCAGAGTATGATGAAAAACCTATGCATGGGTTTCAGAAGTTTTTGTACCAGAATAAACTCATACTTTCTATTTCTTTTAATTTTGCCAGGCAGCGAGAGAGAGAAAGTGAGAAAATATTCTATGGGGAATGATCAAACTGAAATTCCTTCTCCTCCACTTTTACCTTTTGGGATTTTGGGCACACAAGTTTTAAGCTGCCAAGTCTAGGACTCAAACATGCAGCTGGCCATATGGGATCCAGCTGCCTTAATCACCACACTACAGGCTGGCCCTAAAGTCAAACTTTAATTGCATTTTCCATGAACTTTTTGAAGTCCTCTCATGCTCACACATATCTGTGTAAGTATGTATATATTCATGTGTATGTGTATAATTGTTCTCCCCCTCCATTTCTTCCTTTCCCTTCCCATCTCTTCCTTCAGTCCTTTCTTAAGTAGTGTGATCCCAGAATAAGAAGAAAGGGAACAAAATCTCTGAGTGAAGGGTTCAATGACCATTAGGGTCTACTTAATTAGTAGCTTGCTTAATATGTAACTTAATTGTCTCGTAGGTGTAGCTCAAGCTCAGTTCACTTCCACTATCACCTGTAATGTAAACTTGCTCCTATGAACATTTCCTTTACTCTGTCTTCTCTTTAAATATAGATATATAGCTTCAACTCATGCTAATACTGATTTCAGCCAGTTCTGGAAGCAGTGCCATAAACACACATAATTAATTAATAGATTATTCTTTATTTATTTGCTTATTATTTTAAAAATTTGGCTGTGGGAAGCATGCATTCTCCAGAAAGAAGCAGAGCAAGTGAAAGAGAAAAAATAAAAAGGCACCCTCAGGGTGGATGGCCACACTGCAATTCCTGTTTCTCTATTCTCTTCTCAGGATTTTGGGTACGCACACACACGTCTGTGTGTTTTTTAAACTACCAGATCTAGGTCAGGTGGGATCCAGCCACCTATGCCATGTGCTGACCCTGTTTTTAAACCATTTGAATTCACTCTTTCTCTACAAAATATTGTCAAATTTAAATAAGAAGAAATACTTCTCTGTTCATCCCTTTCTCTTTCCTTTTACCTTTTGTCTTTCTCTCTTTTTCCAGAGGAAGCTCACCAATGTGGGAAGGGGCTCCTCATCCACTGCCAGGCCGGGGTGTCCCGCTCCGCCACTATCGTCATTGCGTACTTGATGAAGCACACTCGGATGACCATGACTGATGCTTACAAATTTGTCAAAGGCAAACGACCAATTATTTCCCCAAACCTTAATTTTATGGGGCAGTTGCTGGAGTTTGAGGAAGACCTAAACAATGGAGTGACACCGCGAATCCTTACACCAAAGCTGATGGGCGTGGAGACAGTTGTGTGACAACGGTCAGGACAGAAAGGATTACGGCTCTCCAAGAGGAGGTGAAGAGGAAGGAGGATGAATTCTGTTTTTTTCTTTTCTCTTTGTTTTTTTTTTTTTTTTTTTTTAGTTGGGGTAAAGTTTGTGAATGAAAACAAACTTGTATAAAACTTTATTTTTAACAAGTGTGAGAAGACTATAAATTTTGATGCCATTGAGATTCACTTCCCACAAACTGATAAAGCAGGGAGGCTAAAGAAATAATTTTTTAAGCCAACAATAAAAATATAATAAAACTTGGTTCTCCCCTTTTTCCTTCTAAGCTATTTGTAGAGTTTATGAATAAATAGTCTGTGCAGGTTCATAGACCGAAGATACTATACTTTCAACCAACTTAAATAAAAGAACCAAAAGTAAGTAGAAAGACATTGTATCATAAAGGCCTGGGATCTCTCTGCCTTGGCTTGTCCATATAAAACACAAAATCCCAACCAAACCAAGCCCTGTTGTGCTCACTGGTGCAAAGAGAAGATCGGGGCAGCTTAAGTGGTTTAAGTGGTCTAAGAACCCTTCCCACATTCTCTTAAGAGACAAAGGATACTATTGATTTTGTGTGTTTCATGCTCTGTATTTTTTTTTTTTCCTTCTCTAGTTTAAAAAATTTTTTTTTTTTTTTTTTTTTTTTTTTTTAAATAACAAGGGACTGACCATTATACCATACGCCTTCACTGGCTTCTTGTGCAATAATGTGGTGTTTTGCGTGTGCAAGCAAGTTAGAGCTGGCACCTGAGTGATAGACGAGTAGTGCAAATTTGCCAGCTTGGAGACAGAAAGGAATTCAACAATACCAATTCCTTTCCTTCCCATCTGTTCCCTTTAATTTTTTTTTTATTTGATTCCGGTTACAGTGCCATAAACCTTGTTACATATGTATATCAGAATGTAAAACAAAAACAAAAAACAAAAAAACAAAAATTTATTTAAAAATATTTTTCGCAAAAAAACTTCGTGTGTTTCTGTTGATTGTGTAAAAATTTATTTTCATGATATAAATGAAACTTGTTTTGGGGTGTTGTCTTTTTTCTCTCTCTCTTAACTCAGGTTCAAGCTTCTCTTAACCTTTGGTAACTAGCATAGTTGGAAATATTAGGTGGTCAGAAAAGCCGTGATGGCTTTTGCGTAGGAAAACAGAAAAAATATGATTTTTCAGTCAACCTAGTAAAACAAAAATTTGTATATGAGGAAAAGATGCTGCATAAGAGGAAAATATTTTGTTTTCACTGTGAAGTAGAGTGAGTGAGCAATAAGGCCAAAGACCTCCGATATTGTTCTGCCCAGTCTTTATCCTCTCCGTTATCCCCCCCATTCTCACAACCTTGGCACCCTTTTCTGCAAACATAATTCCCATTTGACTGAGGAAGCCTCACGTAAAATGAATTGAAAGATATGATGGATTCTCAACAGCTTTTCAGCCTCATTGACCAACTCACTGTCAGACCTACGGTTTCAAATTTAGTGGCTTTTTGATAAATATTTTTAACAGTCTGCCATTTAAGGGTCTTTATTATTGCCACTTGCTCATTTGGCATTTTTGATGACATTAACTACATAGTGCATTGTAGCAAAGTGCTATTTCCTACTTTCTTTTTCTTTTATAGTGTACTAAACTCATCTTGTGTATGGTTCCTTAGAATTACACTTGTAATCACATTGCATAGCTGGGTTTCTGGATGGTAGGGGTTTTTAACAATTTGATTATCTTCTATGTTTTATTAAAATAGATGTCTATAAGGACCTGGTCATAGGGAAGATTCCCAGCAAACTAAATTTTGCTTGAGGTAAATAAAAGAGTTGAAGAATCTGGCATGTCCAATTCTATATGATTACATTTAACAAATACTATTTTGTGAACCTTTACTTACAAATGTTAAAACAAATGATTTTTGACATTTATTTTTTAAATAGCTTTTTCTACCAAAAGTAATTAAAAATGTTCTTTTATTACAAAAGTGAAGACCAAATTTAACAGGAATTAACTGAGCTGCTTTGCTTTATTTTGGTTTAATACAAATGTTAATCAGGTGAACAAGAAATCTGTTATGGTGCTTTCTACTCTCCAGACTAACAATTTTCTTGGTGCTAGAGCTTATTGAAGGAGTCAGGTTGATACATATTTAGTGATTTAAAATACATGGTAATTTACCAGATATTTCTTTTTATTTATTCTAAGTCCAAATCTTAAATATCTGATAATGTATAGGATCCTTTCATCTTGAATCAATATAGTTCCTTTTCTGTAGCTACATGGAAATGACTTATGTTGGGCAAGTTTATGATTTTGAGAGAAAATCTGTCCTGAGGCAGGCAAGAATCCTGCCAACCAGCATACCAAGAATTCTAAAGGGACTCAGGTCTTTTCTACTAATCTGCTTTGAGGCACATAGCCTCTGTTTTTTTCATAAGGAATGTTAACCACTTCATGAAAATGACATGGATTAACCAAGCCACTGCTCTAGAAACCAGACTCCCCAGGTTTCTGGACCTCACTAGGAGTTTTAGAGCTTTAGGGCTGAGCTAGGAAATGATTGTGTCTTCCTGTGAAAGCAGAATCTCTGACCAATGCATGCATTATTCGCAGAATCCAGCAAGGATTGTTTTATGCTGAATGAATTTAATGACTTAATAGAATGAATCTGTAATATATGTAATCATAATAATAAAACATGTACTAGAGGCACTGTTATCAGAAGTTGAATAGGACATCAGCTTCAGCTCTTCTATATACATTTATTTCAATGGTTAATACTTTTTCAATCAGTTTAAATGAAGTAAGATAGAGGGTTCATATTTCATGGAAGATGGAAGAGCTTGTGCCAGCTACCTCGTCCATGGATAATGACAGGGCAGGGTGGGAGTTGGAGCAGAGAAGCTGAGAAATGGATAAAACATGTATGAAGGGATATATGGAAGAACTGTACATAACCTGTCAATCATATGCTAGCATTAAATGAGGAAAGATGACCTTTCAAACTGGTAATGAAATATGAGAAACAGGAGAAAATTGGAGGTTAGAGTAAAAGAAAAGGAAAAAGCCTATGTCAGAGTGTGAAAACTAGGAACTGAATCCTGAATCACACTCCAGAAGTTTACTAAGAGAATGCTAATAAATTACTCAGATCTTCTGAAGGCAAAGGTCTGGCATGCCTGATTGTAAACAGATATCCATCAGTTAGTAATGTCCTTCACCTTATCAGAGGATGAGCGCTTTTAAATAGTTCATGACACATTATATTTGTGTTTATTTCCCCAAACATATAACAGCTAATTTCAGAAAATATAGGTGGATGTTTGGCTTCAATCTCTGACTGAGATAGTCATACTGTCTTTATATATGAATAAGTATTGTGAGAAGGTGGTAGAAAATGACTATGAATACTAACCCCATTAGGATGACAATAATAAAGTATGTAGATTATTGTCCAAACTTATACCTGTCCGTTAGAACACTTCCTGCCTCTTAGAGGTGGTATAATATGAACACAAATGTTTTCTGCAGTCCCAATTTTTCTCCTCTATGACAACCTTTGCCAATGTTTGGTACAAGTCACATGCATCAGAATTTGATCGGAAGCAGAAGTACTGGATGATGTGGAATGAGGGGTTTATTCTAGGGATTAGATCTCAGGCAATTGCAGGATCTAGCGAAGAAATCAGAGGGAGTATGTTGTTTTTGATGATAGGAAGAAATTTCCGTGGGTCAGCAGGATCAGAAATTAGAGAGAAAAGCTGGGCATCAAATAGGAAGAACAAAGAATACCTGAATTTAGTAGGAATCAGCCTTTTACCAACCCTGATGTTATAAATGACTGGGAGAAGTATCCCTTGTAGGTCTCATTGTCATGGAGTTGAAGATACACAGGACTTGGCAAAGCTGAAGGCAGAGATCTAGAGAGAGCTTTTTGAGTTGCAGAAACAACTGCTGTGCTACTCAAGATGAGCTCCCAATAAGTCAAAATGTGTACTAGCCATAACAGTGCTTCATGGCCCCTTCAAATGGTTGCTCTTTAACTTCTGCTTAACTTCTGCCCTTCAGATCTTATGCAAATTTCCCTTAAAGCTAACCTTAACCCAGTTGTGAAAAAGGAAAAGGAATTCTGGGAAATGTAGTTCCTGTTTTAGCTAAATTGACACCAAACAAAACCACCACAACCCCTTCCTTGCTAATTTGGCATCCCTCTGTATGTCTTTTAACCATATTTAACTTCCAAATAAAGACATTCACAAAATAATACATCTAAATAATAAGATGTAACTGTCACTTCTACAGATGAAAACATACTTAGCTTTTCCCAGAGGGGGTGCATAGCCCTTTTGTTACTTTTCCATTTGGGGGTAACATGCATCCCTCTTCCAGCTGAGGTCTACTCTCCCTTTGATGCCTTGTGACTTAAATACTGAGATATGAAGGTGGTATGGGTTGAATTGTGTCGGCCCAAAATACATGTTGACATCCTAAAACCCAGACTTTGTAAATACGATTATATTTGGAAATGGATGCTTTGCAAAAGTCAAGAAGAGGTCATAGTGGAGGCTAGATGGTGGCACAGTAATAACAATTGGACCCACATGGGAAGGTCCTCACTTCCTGTCTTGAGACCTCTCTATATACTCTGAGCATGGATTCATGTGCCCATGCTCTGAGCTGAATGAGGCTGAGAGTGGATTATGGCATGAAGATGCTGTTAGGGTTACCTGTCTCTGTCTCTCTCTCAGTGTGTGTCTCTCTCTCTCTCATGGGAGAAATAAACAAACTTAGAAAAAAAGAAAGAAAAATAAGTGATCATGTTGGATTAAGGTGGATCCTAATTCAATACCTGGTGTTATGAGGAGAGAAGGCTGTAATGTAGACATGAAAGCAAGAGCCCCATGTGAAGATCGAGGGAGAGATTAGAGTAATACATCTATTAAATAGAGAATGCCAGAAGCTAGGAAAAAGGCATAGAAAAAATTCTTCCTAGAACCTCCAAAATGAAATTGATCTTGGTGACCCTTTGATTTTTGACTTCTAGCCCCCACCTGTTTTTATAAGCCACCTAATTTATGATGCTTTGATACAGCAGCTCTAGGAAAACAATACAAAGGATAACTACCTTTAGCCATGTTTTATATTAGTAGTAGATAGGGAAGAAGAAAAAAATTTGGTAATATATAATTGTATATACAAAGGAACTTCAGAAAGTTTATGGAAAAATGAAATTAAAGTATGAGTTTACTTTGGAGCAAAAATATTTTGAAATCCATGCATAGTTTTTTCACAATACATACTTTTCATAAACTGTTTGAAGATCTCTCATATTCACATCAAAATAAATATATTTGTCATAACTAATTTCTATAACTAATTTCTATAACTAATCATGTGGTCATAGCTGGTAAATATTAATATAACTTCCTTCTTTCAATATCCATTCCATACTCTTTGTCCTCAGCAAGCATATCACTTGGTCAAGGATTTTTAGGCTGATCTAAATTTTCATTTTTCAAGTATCTGAGCCTTGGTAGTTGAGCCTGCCTCAAAATAAATATATTTGTCATAACTAATTTCTATAACTAATTTCTATAACTAATCATGTGGTCATAGCTGGTAAATATTAATATAACTTCCTTCTTTCAATATCCATTCCAT